AGAGAAGGGGTTGCAGTGTGGCCATTCCCCCTGGGAAGTGGCTTCTTGCTTTTTGTCTCTCTCTCTCTCTGTCTCTCTGGAGAGTGTATTCGCTCTAGAGCAAAAAACAAACAAACAAAAAACAAAACCAAAAAAACACAAAAACACACACACAAAGAACCAAACAAACAAAAAACAAAAACTCTCTTAAAAAAATAAACAACTTAAAATTAAACTAAGCAAAAAACCCACTTCTAGTCTTATTTTCCCTGAAGAAGGTCAGTAATTCTGTGGTCATCTCAGGTAATTGGGGAGGGATCCAGACCATGCCACGTCCCTCTTCCTCAGCTTTTCTTCCTGGGGCACCATGGACTTTTGGAGTGTCCGCCCATGTGGGGATATTTTTGGTCCATACCTGGTTTCACATCCTGCCCAGCCTGCCCAAAGGGAGATGAGTGAGGAAGAGCAGAAGAGAGATGGGGCCACGAGGGAGGGTGTGAGCTCTTCCCTCAGGTGGCAGGCTGTCCTTCGTGACCTCTTCCAGCCACCCTCCCTGTTCCCTTCTCTGGCTAGACATGACTCTCCTAGGACAGGAGCTCTGGCCCTTTGCCCTGGCCTACTCAGTAGCTACTCAGCCTGGCTTGTCTGTTGACTGGGATGGCTCGGGTTGGGTGTCGACCCTCTTCTTTGTCTTGGGGCTCTAGCTGTGGCCCTGATGATGCTGTTCAGAAAGGAGGCAGCCAAGACCTCCTTCGCTCTGCCTTCGGCGGGATGTGGTGTGTGCGCAGTCGTGACTGGGGGTTGGCGACTGGTGGTGAATGGGCGGTGGAATGAGCATGACTTGCCTGCTGGTGAGGAAAGCAGAGTCCAGCGTCCCTCCCCTTTCCTTCTCAACCCCTAAGAGTCTCTGTCCTAGTGGTCTCTCCTCTCTCCTCCTCCGTGGAAGGACGCTGCCCTTTCCTGAACCCCACAGCTCTTTCGCCTCCATCTCTGCTCCTCCGATCTCCCTTGCCCTGCATGCCTTCTCAATTGCGGCTGCCTTTCTGTGGCCTGTCCTGCTGGGCCTGACCCCCATCCTGCTCCTCTAACCCGCATGTGTCCTTGCTGCGGTGGCTGTTCTATG